TTTGTAACAAGTTCAGAAAGTACATTTTGTGAAAGAGGGACACCACTTTGGAATGGTAGTCTAATTTATTGAGATAAGCTGCTATAAAGGATAATGTTTATTCACATGTTTATTAGGAACTTGCAAATCAGGAGGTTGTAAATGTTTTAAACTCGCCAGGGTAAACAAAGCTATCACAAGTCATACTTTAGTAGATTTAAACAAACTGAATACGAGAAATTATATGCAATATATTGATGGAGGTTTCCGGTAGCCCAAGTTTTAAGCAGGCCGCCCTTTACATCCACGTGTATCAAGTCGATCATTACTGTAAATAAACCTTCAATCTATATTTTTAAGTGTCATAGAGTTTCAGTTTTTGATTCATTCTAATCACAGGCAGTGAATTCGAAATGTTATCACCACTAATATTTAATTCCTAGTCCAAAGTACCAAATAATTCATCGATCTGTAGTTGGTAGATTAGCTCAGTAGCATTACTCTTTTTACAAAAGTGTGCATTAAAAAGATGTGAATTCACTACGTGAAGAAGAAACAAATATTTTTAACAAAGAAAGAAGTTTTTGGTCTTCTCAGACAACTAATTTGTTTATCTTATTTGAATTTATACAAGCAGGTTATTTTGTAAACATATTTTCTTAAAGTTCTTACAGTTATATGATACAGTCTCTTTCCGCTAATAATAATAATAGTCAGGTATGCGACTAATACCTCTTTTAACGTAGAATATGAATACTGATATGAGGCCAGATTGGTTTCAGTTAGTTTAATAACAAGAAAAAAGCGGAATCTACAAAATAAATGTGGTGTGCTGAGTGTAATTATAAAATTTGAGAAATGGATAATAGGAATAAATTCATACATAGCGGGGAGGAAAATTAAAAATTTAACTCATGGTGGCAGGATGTGTTGTTTGAGTCATTTAGGCAACAAATGTATTAAACGAAGGATAAAAAACTGTAATGACCAGTTTATCATGAAATAATCTATATGTGGAATGAATGGAGCAATGTATTATTATAGTATTATTATTCTTTTTATTTTATTTTTATTATTTTTATTACAGCTTGAAACCACACAGTATTTTTGGTACATGTATGGAATTTTCAGCATGGATATCGGTAGCCCAAATTTCGCAGGCCGACCATTGATATCAGGTGTGCGTTGGCAGGGGGTCGAACTCCGGACCATGTTCATGGTCGGCGAGAGTCCTAACCGCTGTGCCACCGACAGTGGAACACAGGGCTTCAACAGTACATCTCCATTTTGTCCTATCCTCTGCAGTCCACTTCAGCTAGCCCTGCGATCAATCATAAGTTTTCATCTCCTTGATGCCACCCTCTGACACATTCCCAACCCATCGTTTCCCACTCAGGTTCCACTAAAGGGCTTGGCGCGGTATTTCATCCAATGATCTCCCCAGCGTGTATCCTATGCATTTCCATTTTTTCTACATATTCATAGAGCGAATGGGTTCTTAATTAGTTTCCTCCCAGAGCTTCTCGTTAAGAACCATCTCTGACCATCTGACGTTCACTATGGAATGAAAGTAAGTACTGATGAAAAGCTACAACCTGTTGAAAATGCTTTTGGTGACGCTTCAAATTTCTGACCCATATAGAACTGACTTGACACTGGTACTGAAAATCATAATTTTGTTCTTCATACCGAGTTCAGCACACTGTACACGCACAGTGCAGCACATACTGGGTGGGAAGATATCATGTGGTCCAGTGATCACCGGAGAGGGAATAACTTCTAAACGTGTTGTTTCTGGACAGAAATTTCTTGCTTGGCTTATGTTACTGACGCAGATTCAACTACTTGAAGAACAAGTAGGTAAACTGTCCATAATAATATCTTAGCTATGTGGAATATTACATCAAAAGTTATATCAAAATCTACATGGTACCTTAAATTACTCAGGTGTGCTACAATGAAGCTTTTTATGGAATAACCTTTATATTCTCTGAACCAGATAGATGACAATTCCGGAATCTGTATGTAAACCTGACTAATCTCATAAGCTAAATAATCTGATGCAAGAGACTAATTAAAATGGTATTTGAAATAGGACGAATAAACACTGAAAGACTAGTGAAGGATAGGCACAGATATCCTCAATAAAATATCTGCTTGTTTACTGTGGTCAAAAGTTGTGATGGGATCTCTTCCGGGATAACTCAGTTGAGCTGTAGACGCGGAAATGAAAACTTTGGATCCACCATCACCAATTCATATTCATCAATATTATAAGCTACTGTTAGCTTTTATGAATTCTGAACATCCATTTTCATTTTCAAATATCCTAGATCAAGTGGAGTTGCTTATGTACACATTTCTTAGAGAAAACTGACGCCACGCTAAACGCTAAATATTAAGTTAGATAACCCTTTTGTTTCACTGTAAGAAGCTATGGAAATGTGCATTTCAAGTTTTATTCTCTAGTAATGGAGATAAGCTTCTTCTGATGGATCAATCTTCTCCACTCGTTACTGATGAGTCACTATGTTAAGGGTTATTTTGTTTACCTTTGTGAAAGAAATACCCATAAGAATGGGTGCAGCTGAATTTCCTCAGATTCACAGCACTGTATATGTACATTTACCGTAGAACAAAAATGTGTCATCCGTTTAATTACAGTATAATTCCACCTTTTATCTTTCCTAATTCAAACAGCCATTTTCTAGGTTCTATGGAGATCCTATAGCCAATCTATCATCCTTTGTGTACATTTCGCTACTAGAGAAGACAACAGTATTCACAATATACTTAAGCAGTAATTTCCTCATAATTACAATGCAAATTCTGTTGTACAACTCCATTTCTAAACAAAGTAGGTTTATCAAGGGAAATAATTGTATGAAGCTTCTTTTTTGCTTTCTATAGGCGAATATAACTCATGGTTTCAAGAGGAAGTACACCTTCAAGGAATGTTGTACACTTATCGGTCATATATGAGCTTCCATTGCATCAACTAGCAGAAAAGGGATCCTTGGCAATTTATTTCGTTAGCGAATTACTCAGAGGCTTATGTAACTATACCATCCACATTATCGTCATATGACAAGAATACAAAACACCTCAGATTGGGAGAAGTGACAGTTCCGCTTTAGGAATTTAAGGGAAATATGCACAAAATAGTGCTGCTATGAATCTGTTAGTTTCCAAAAATTCAGTTTGTCCTCCAGTTTAGAATTCATCTTGTTTATGAAATGGTACCTGATCATCACCGTTTATCCGACTAACTGATGACGATCATTATTTAGTCTTATTCTTATAATAACCTCCTGACGCTCTTTAGTTAATATGCTATGAGACACTTTTTATTGTAATGTGTACAACAGGCCGTGGGGAGCAATAAGGCCGACATAAGTTGCATGAAATAAAGGAAACTAGGAGGAGGATTTGTGACTCTTATCTCAAGAAGTCAAAGATATACAGACCAAAAAACTGACAATTTGACGAAAGAGGTTGCAAAATTAGGACTCCAAGTGAACATGGAAATGATGGTGGTGATGAATATAGCTAACCAAAAAAGCAGGTATCAATCACCTTCAGCAGCGGAGATCAGCAAGAAGTCATCTACTTCACTCACACCAACAACCTCGTCTCAGCTACATGTAGCACGGGTGAAGGTGTTGAAGCCAGTCAAGATCAGATCAGGAAATCATGACAGGCGTTCATTACTCTCAATGTGGAGATCTACAACATTCAGAACAAGAAACAATATCTGAGCTATAAACACCAATATCAAGTCAATGCTTCTAAATATTCAGAGATCAAGTGGTCACAACAAGAAAAGCATTGTCAACAGCCTGAAGCCAACTTTCATCAATAAATAACTTCACTGACTCAGTATTGATGACTGTATGGCAGACCAGAAAGAACATTCAAAGAAGAATCCTGTCAGCGAACGAACCAAGAGCCTATTGATCAACCAATATGCAAAATGAAAATTGGGGATACACTGGACATTATTTGGGACAACCGCCAAAACACAAGTCACTGCAGGTAGGCCGTCGAATGGAATCCGTATAGAAAGTGACAGGTTCAGCGTTCAAGGTTGGCATGAACGAGATCATATGAAGAGGAAATGAAGTCAGATGAAAGTGATGTCAAAGAAGTAGATTTAGTGGAGACGTACTCCTGAGGCCTTATATTCCATTGAGAATGCAAGGAATAAATAATAATAATAATAGTACTATAAAATTTATTCGGAAAGCAGTGTATTTTTGAGCATAATTCCATCCTAGATCATTTATGCTTTCATCAATAGATGCGTTGGTGGCACAGTGGTTAAGACTCTCGCCGACCATGCGCATGGTCCGAGGTTCGATCCCCCGCTGAGGCACACCCGATATCTATGGTCGGCCAGCAAAATTTGGGCTACCGATATCACATGCTGAAAATTTCATACTTGTACCAAAATACTGTGTGGAATCAAGCTATAATAAAATTTTAAAAAATAAATAATTTAATCTAACACTGTAGTTGATCCTTCTAGTCACGATTACACAAATGCTTTTATCTTGAAGATAGATTTCATTACATAAAATTCACCAATCTATTCTTTTTATATGATTCTGGGTTTCTAACTCGGTATCACAAAGAAAGAGTTCTCCATACATTTGCTCTGTTTCTACAACTCAGTTATCTCAAGCTTTCTCTTCATATACAAATTAAATAATATGTTGTTTGTTACCAGACTAATGTACTTTTTTTATGTATCTTATATTAAAAAGATTTCAAGATTTATCTATCTTACAAATTATTGGTCCAAATTAACAATTCTCACATGCATACACTAAAATACCTTAGTAGATCTATACACGATAAACTAAATGAACTATTTACTATGAAAAAGTTAATACTCTAAACCATTCACATGAATAAAAAAAATTATCTGTCTAATCAGAACGTTTCCAAGTATATATGGTTAAACTCATTTGCATACAAAAGACATATATATAAACTTGCGGTTATCTAACTTTTCATTTATTTAACTCTCTAGTTTGGTAAGTAGTAATAATTTATTCGTGTTGAAGTAAATTGAAATAGATTACAGCAATAAGTGAACACACTGTTTGATTAATCATGGCTTCCGTGAATAAACAAAGTCAAATGGAGCAGTTTATTACAGCATTCATTGAAATGGATAAGGATAGGAATGAAATGGTTGATCGCCAAGAACTGATCAGATACTGTCAACAAAATAGGATGGATATGAAACAAGTTGATGTAAGCTCTTATTTGTAGATCTTATTTTTACTCATTGAATTATGTTTTATTTTATTTTATTACTACTGGTGATTACCTCCCAGACAAGTAATTGAAGTTATTTAAAATCAATATTATTAGACTCTGGTAATAGAAATCATCTGATCTGATGTATTTCAGCTGGATTATTTCTATACCTATTCTCCGTTTACTTTCATAGCTTGTTATATTAATGATAAAAATAACTAACTAAAACTGAGTTTTGTGCTCTCGATAAAAAGGAATAGTATCAGTATTTGTGGACAGTACAGACGACATTCGTATCAATGACTAAATGAGTATACAAAATCATTCTAATTGATTCTTTTGGGATTCAATATCTTGTTGAATTACTTGAAATATTTTCATGTATTCAAATATACAAAAGACTGGAATGTAAATTCCTTACTGGATACAGAACATTGTCTAATCTTCCATTAATTATATGATCTTTAAAACAAAACAAGTGTCGATAGTCTTTTAATCTTAGGCACTTACTAACTCATTAGAGAGTTTTCGAATTTTCTATGTCCACATAACAAATCTATTTAAAGTTATTAGCTGTAAACTATTTATGGCAGTATAAATATACATTAAAGATGGTTAATTCGAATAGCGTATGAGGGACAAAAATGTATTGTGAATGGAAGAAACCAATGAATGAAGTGAACATAGACTTCAAAAGAGTTCTTAGTCAAAAATATAAGAAATAAAACCTTGTTATTGCATACTGTCTCTTACTTATGACTTGTACCATTTCTAGAATAAAGGTTTTTTTCACTCTCCAGAAGAAATATTTTATTGAAGCTATTAATTCCATTCACACACTATATGTTTTAATAGGCATCAAATGAATTAGCGGGCTTTAAATGCTATACAAAAAGATTTCTTGAGAAAGTCTTTGAATCACCTGAGAGGAAGAATAATTTCAAGTGTCAGATGTAATTTGACTTCACTTAGGATTAGGGTCTGTTTACTTTAATCTTCGTTGGTGAACAAACAAAATTGTTAAGGTATGATTACAAGTACTAAAAGGGTGTAGGGCATCACTGGCTGACATTAGTAAATTGAATAAACGTTAATCAATATAGGAAAGCATATATTTAAACTCTAACATGTAATTCATAAGCAATTTTCTTTATTTTCTCACTATTTCTTTTTTATGCATTGCTTTCTAGACATGGATTTCAAGGTTTGATACAGACAAAGATGGTAAAGTTAGTTTGGATGAATTTTGCCGTGGACTTGGTTTAAAACAGGCAGAAATGTAAGTGACGTATATATACATATATATATATATATATCGGTTGTATATTTCTTTAATTTAACACTTTCCTTTCTTCATCACTTATACTTTGCATTTTCACTCAATGAATTTACAAATAACCTTAGTATAACATTTTATGAGAGATAAATATCACTGATATTATAAATCACGTCTCATTCGAAATTATATTCATATTGTTTAGTGACCAGTTGTGATTCACTCTTTTATAGTGCCTTATTTCATGAGACATTATAATAAATGGCGACTAGTAGGTACTGATAAGTCGGCCTTATAGATAAAAATAAATAGGCTCAACAAAACAACGAAATGACTGACAGATACAAAGTGTTTGCATAGATAAATAAATTACTTTTTCTTAACAATACAAAATTGTAATCGATGAGTAGGGTAAGATTAAACTTCAGTTAGCTGTATCATATTTACTTCATTACTGAAGTTAATATTTTTATTTAATAGCCTTTCACTGCATACCAGAATTAAATATCTAGGAGGACAACGACCAGATTTGACTATACTTCATCTCAGCAGCTTACAAAAACTTTTAAATAATTAGAAAAACTAAAAGTCATTTACTACAGAATGTCTATCTGTTTAGCTACCATATTCAAACCTTTGAGGTGAAAATAGGTACTATACATATGCTCTCTAAAAATTCGCGTGTTGATCACTATTTTATTCTACATTGAAACGTTATTATTTAGAGTAGTTATTCAAACATAACAATATATGGCGTGTCAGCAACTTCTTTGTTACATATTTGTGCATCAAAACTCAAAAAGAAAACTGATTTTTAATTTTAATTTAATTTTTATTATATGATTATTTTTTTCAGACGTCGTCTCAAAGAGGAACATAAACGAGCCAAAGATGGTAGAGTACCTGACCTTCCTCATGATATTGATATTATTGCATCAACTATGTCGTTAAGCAAACAACATGAAATCTGTACTAAATTTAAAGAAATTATGGGAAATCCTCCTAAAACTGGTGAAGCTATGAGAGATGTGACTAGTAAAATGAAAACTTATTTGGATTCAGAACATGGTCGCGTCTGGCAAGTGGTTATACTAACTGGTTCATATTGGATGAATTTTTCACATGAACCATTCATGTCAATACAATTCAAGCATAGCAATAATGTTGTTCTTCTGTGGAGAACACCTTGTTAAGAAGGATAAATCTTAGAAACAGAAATGAAGACATATACATTTATATTTCTTTATACATTCATATACGTATCTATTTAAATACTGGAAGAGCGTATGAAAATTAATTTGTATAAGTGTGACGATAAATTTTATATGAGTTTTAAAATGCTACTACCATTTTTACTTTACTCATTATAAACTCTTATTGTTCAATTTCTGAATACATATTTTGATTTCTTCTTTGTGATGAAGATTTTATTCACTGCTGTGTGACTTATTTTTATTTTCTTGACTTCTAATAAACACTTATTTTTAAAAAATGAACAAAAATGACAGTTTTGCGTAGATGGATGGTGGGGTTTTAAATGATAGGAATGTTGATAAATTTCTGTACTGCACATACTGGAGACTAAATAAAAAATTATACAAATCTGACTAGTTTATTTACTACCTAATATTTGATAGCATTCAGAGATGTTCTGAGCAGTTGCTTGGATTCACGGTTTAAAGATACTTCTTATGCTCATTCACTGAATTCAATAATCGATACAAATGTAAAAATATGTGGGGAGTGAGTACTTATTTCCAGAGATCTAGAGAAATATTATAATAATTCTAGTTCTAATATGACGAACCCACCATTATGTCCTTTTAAAATGAATATTAGTATAACTGCTATAAGATATCTGATTCACGATGTGGTCTTAGCTATCCAAGTTACATACAAGTAATTATCACTGAAATATTCATACTGCTGAAAGACAATAGAGCATTAAAATGATATGAAATAAACTACTCATGAATAGGTTTTCTGACTGTGTAATTGCTTCGTTTTTTTCTGGCGGCAGAATTTTCTAGAATTGAACTTATAGTTAAATGTCGCTGTCTTCATAAGCGTAAAAAGATGAGAATGTCTGCCAATATAAAGGATATGGCTAAATTATTCAAAAGACAGGATTATGAATGAACTAGTATTTGCATACATCTATTCTTATTTATTTGACTAGCCTAGCAAAATATCTTACACTATCAGCCGATAAGAATTATTCATTGCTTAGCGTCGACATTTTCGGTATTCAGAATAATAATAATGAGTGTGAAATCGAGGTGAGCTTCATGCTTCCCTTACCCTTCTTTACGTTTAATAAAAATGGAGAATCCGTATAAGACTCAGGCTATCTTCACTGTTATTTCCAATAATTACGGTGACTTATCAAAACAATAATCATTTTTTGAATGCATTCAATGATAGATAAATGTCTTCCAGGAAAATTGTGTTCTTAGGAAGCACAATTTAGGGATTGGATGTTTCTTAAGTGTCAGTTTCTCTTAGAATAATATATGGTAAAGCAAATATTTTCGCAACAAACATCATTACTATTATTAATAAGAATAAGACCGGAAGACCTATGAGTTGTATAAGTGTTTCTACTACTACGATAGTAAATCATTTCACCGACTGAACATTTTCTTTATGATCCCACATTAATGAACTTAATACAAATACAACAAAGAACATCAGTAGTTGTAGGTAATATGTGAAAATATGAAGCGTTAACTAGACGGAATATATCAATTATTTCATTTAATTTTTTGAGTATGACCACGCATTGACATCAGTTAGAGAACCATAGTCAGTATGCACCTACTAGGTTTCGAACCCAGGGCCTTCCGGTTACAAGGCAAGTTCGTATACCATTCACCCAATGGGACGCGATTCAGTAACCAGCCAACGAATTCTAACTTCTATCGATTCTTTCAGTAACTTCTTAGCTCCTACATAAAAGCAGATGTATATATTGATTACTTGGATGGAATATTTCACTGAAACTGTAGCACATTTGCACCTAAGGTAATAAACTCTCATTCATAAGTAAAGAAAAGAACTTCCAAGCATTTTTATTATGCTATAAGGTTCAACTGTACAAGTAAACAAAAATACTAAATAACTAATTTTGGTTAAGTTGAAGTTATGTGTTTCAAGTAGGAATATGCTTAGACAGTAAATGTGGTGAGTTATCTACATAAACCAAGTAAGGGCATGTGACTGAGTATACTTCAGACAAAAGAAACAAGATAGACGTATTAATTATTATGAAAAGCAAGGTGAAGAAACAAACGCTGAAAGAAGACAGAGAAGAGAATTCAAAGATTCTATGCTGACTGCAGTTATAATCATGGTTGTAGTATTTCATTATTAGCAGGTTAGATTTTGATCAATAAGCAACTCTTTAGGTGTTCCCAGAGTGACAGCAGTAATAATAATAATTACAGAATTTATTGCAGTGGTAGGAATGATAACCTTCTAAATGGGATACATTTTGTCTTCACGAATGTATATTGAATTCAATACAACAATATCAGTATAACACGACAAAATTTTAAATCCTTGACAAATTTAAAGACGTTGAGATGCATATTTAAAAAGAGTATTAGATGAGAAGCTTTCTCTGGTGTTTCCATGTCTAATAAATCTAACTTTCGTGTATGATAACATTAAACTGACAAAGATACGGTTGTTGCGTGTTCACGTGAATAACCTAGGAGATTTTCGAAGAGAATTAACGCTTGAAATACTTTTTCTTTTAGTTTTTGGTAGAGAAAATCAGAAGATATTGTTTAAAAGAGGAGTGTGATGATAACCTTTTCATATAAAAAAGAAAATCTGTTCAAATGAAGCCTTTCTTTTACTTTGAAATGACAACTTTGAGGTGTTTTCTTTAGCTGTGGTATTTCACTATTATGTAGAAATAAACATATAGACAGTCATTTCACCATTATGCATACATACGTTCATTCAACATATATTGCTTCTTATTGTTAACTATCAAGACTCCAATCATCTAACATCATTTGATGAGCATACTATGTTTAATAACTGTCTTTAAACTAGTATTGAACAGCTAAATGTAGAAAAGAGTAATATGGCATATTCACATGGAAACATTTTCCGGATAGTGAAATTCAGTTTGTAAGTAAAATATCAAGCAGGCTGAAAGATAAACTTGAGAAATTACAGAGACATCCATAATGTCACTTCCGCAGAAGAGTTACTGATGGAGGTTTCATAGAAAGGAAGAAAAAGTGACTATTGCATAAATGAAGAAAACTATCTTGACAAGCATTGGGTTCATTTACCATGATGAAACTTCTTCCACGTATTCAGTCATCATACAAACGTGTTTGATTTACGTAGCATTTACATTAGGTAATAAACTCAGACAGAAACTAGAGGTGTTCTATTAAGGCACTGTCTATGAATAATTGTAGTCCATATGCAAACCACTTTCTTATTAACTTATGAGAATTGTAACTGAATGGAATATTATTATTTATTATTTTATTCTATTCCTTCACGTTCCCAGTGGAACATAGGGCTTCAAGCTAGAGGCTTGAAGATTCTGTAGCAGTGTTTATTTTTACAGGATGAGGTTGCTCGCCTCATGCCCAACCTTCCCTCTTTACCAGTCTTACTACTGGCTTAGCGAGGTGAAGGAGTGCGTCAGCCGGGGATCGAACCCCGGACCATGTGCATGGTCGGCGAGCATCCTAACCGCTTTGGAACATGAAATACCATTATTTCATTGGATTAATTTGGTAAAGTTTGCAGAAGAAGTTAATTTTCCCCTTGACAGACTTTAATCACACTCCAGTGGTGCAACTATTAATAAAACATTACATTAAAAGCTTTATGAAGACATTATATACAAATAAAACACCATCCACATATTTTTTTGAACAGAGTTAACTAAAAGAAGTAGGACAGTTAATCGCAGGATCTTTAAATTTTTCAGCTGAGAAAAATGCACTGATATAAAATACACACAAAGTATAAAGAATATAATGTCATATAAAGCTGAAGTAACAATGTGAATTCAAGATTTTCAAACTAGAAAGACAGAATGGTGTGGCAGTTATTAATTTTCTCGTAAGGAATTTCAACTTCTCTTCATTTTTGACAGCAATAAATCTGTAATTGGATTTGTTTCAAGTTTGGTAGCTGGTGGCTGTGCTAATACTGCGAACTGGTAGAAGTTAGAACTGTAGCCACAGAGTCGGGTCCCACTGGGTGTGTGCTGCATATGAGCGCCGAACTAGGACGAAACCGCTGTTCAGTACTGCCTGGTCAATCCATGGTCAAACTTGAAACATACTTTATTCATTCTGACAAACGGAATGAATCAGTGGTGTAGGCGAATTACTCAACTGATTGTCACCTGTAATTCACCCACCTATCTAGTTTAACTGGATGATAACAGCCTATGTGGTATGAATAGCTTCTTCGTAGCGTTTTTAATGATTATAATAAAATAACAAAGTGTCGCCTGTTTAAACACAAATAACTATGCTAATTGAAAATCATTTGAATTTACTTTTTTATATCAAAGAATTAGTATGCATTTATAACAAAAATGCATGCATAATGTCGCTACTTCTAAGCCAAACAGATGACATTCGTCATCTTTTTTTTACACGTTTTATGATTAAACAGCTAGGGTGACTGACTAAGTAAATAAAATATATTTTTTAAATGAATAAGAGAATGATAGATTTTAATGCAAAGTATTGCTGTCTGTATTATGTTTCCTTCACGTTCCTCAGTGGAATGACGGGCTTCAAGCTAGTGGCTTGACGTTTCTGTTGCAGTGTTCATTTTTACAGGATGAAGTTGCTAGCCTCATGCCTAACCTTTCCTCTTCACCAGCATTATTTCTGGCTTAGCGAGGTAAAGGAGTGCGTCGGCCGGGGATCGAACCCCGGACCATGTGTATGGTCGGCGAGCTTCCCAACCGCTATGCTACCGACGCTGTCTGCATTAGCTTAGTATTTCTATATCTCTGCCTTATTATTATGAACCTTGAAGTAACAGTTCCATCTTTTTGTGTGTTGTTTTCCTCATAATCTTATTTCTGAAATGATGGTACTTCTGAAGGTGCTACTGTGGTTATCTTGCCTGTTTACTGAATGTAGAATGAAATAATTGTAAGTAATACACCAAGATCGTAATAATTCTTCAAAATAGACCTTTAACATAGCCAATTATGGCAGATTCAACAATATGAAAAAGACTGTGAATCCTTTAGCTCCGCATTTCTTTAGGTATTGACAATTAGAGTAGAACTTGATGTAAACAAGAATTTTTTCCCTGTATGTTAATTCACTATGCTGATTTTGAATTTAACATTTTGGGTCTAAAACAATATTCTTTTTAATAAAATTGTTTAATGTTTTAGATGTTAGTGTAGCGTATTAGCTGAGTACACTGTCAACAGTCTGATCACTTGTCTACCTTCTAAGCCAATAAAGGTAATATAGTAGAAATTATCAATTAATGTAATGAGTTATAGGATATTTAAGAGTAAGGAAGATGACAATCAGATAAGAATTACTAAGACAGACCAAGTGTGGCATTAAATTATGTTTTCATACACAGTAGGGAGTTTAATATTATGTAATTGGCTGTCACCGCAGCCTATCTCAGCATGCTCCTCTGATTACTTTTGTATAAAATCACGATGCTTGCTTTTAACACAAACTGTCGCATAAGTCGTACAAGAAGTGTGTCCTGATATGGACAAGAATAACAGCCTATCATTTGCACTTATCGAGGCTTGGTTACTGAATTGTGTTCAA